AACACTGTCTCGCTGGCGAGACAGCAAACACTGTCTCGCTGGCGAGACAGCAAACACTGTCTCGCTGGCGAGACAGCAAACACTGTCTCGCTGCGAGACAATTCATATCTGTCGATTTGAGTGATTTTCTCTATGTTTGGATATCTCTTAGCATTTTTTAACGCCTACAGATACCCCCTTCAAAGTATTCCAGACTCATTCTTTTATAGAGGAGCATGAGATACTTTGGATAAGATAGATTTTACTTACGATCCCTTCAATGCTTGGTTGAGTAGATCGTGTGAAAGGACTTGTGACTGGCTTCAATGCTTGATCTCTTCTGCTTTTAGTCTATTCAGTTCTTCGTAGAATAGCTAATATCCTCCCGGAGTCGCGTTTATCGCTTGACCGTTGTCGAGATCTTGAATTGAAGTTGATACTTGACGAGACAGAGTTTTCTGTCCCGCTCGGCGAGACAGTGTTTTCTGTCTCACTCGGCGAGACAGAATTTCCTGTCTCGCTCAGCGAGACAGAGTTTCCTGTCTCGCTCAGCGAGGCAGCTGCTATATAAGTCGGGACTTAGGGTTTTAGGGTTTTTTCACGTCAATTTCTGGGCGATTTTCAATCGATTTCTTGGGCGATTTTCTGCAAGTTTTCTGCCTTCACTTCTCCTCTTTGTTTCTGATTTGGGTAGGGCTTCGTTTGGGGAGATTCCACTTGGATTTGGTAAGTTTGATTTCCCTCTTTTCTTTCAAATCTTGATTTTCTTCATCTGTGACCTTGCATGCACTATTTCAGCGGTATTTCGTGATATTTTGTTTAATTTCACGTCCAAAACCCTAACTTTCCTCTTGGGTTCCAATGTAGCTCGTATTTTCGTCATGTCGCCACGTAGAGCTCGAGGGACTCGAGGCCGTCCGACTGTTCAGAGTCCTGAGGAGGCTGCCCCTGTTGTCGCTTCGCACGGGGGTACATTTCTTTTGCCCTTTCACGAATTTAAATATTATATTTCGTCAATTTCATATATATGTACCTGTATTTGCATGCAGATCCTCGTTTGTATCCTTTGAGATACCCTCGAGAAGAGCCGGTATCCTCCTTTGAGGGGATCGACGCTTAAAAGTGTTTGTTTTGCTTGGACAAAACACACTTCATAATACACATGGGCGATTTCATATCATCCCACGGGTATTGAAAGGTTTTGGTATGCCGTTATAATGCCCGTGCATAGTAACGCGTATCTCTTTTATACATGTGGTAGATGAAAAATCGTCACACCTGTTATGAGATAGCGACTATATCTTATGAAGTAAGATATATCGTTTTCTCTAAAATTGTAGGGCTATACTTACACAGTTTATGTGTATGTTTCTTTTATCAGTCCGATTTCCTTCTTCCATCTTTACTGCTGATGCGGTTACGGGTCGGAGTAGCATGACCCACTCTTATTATAAGGGGATCCCGTTAATTGAATCATCTCCCCAGTTCAAATCTAGCTATAGCGAAAGCGCTAGAGAATTAATCCAGTGAGGTAGTTGTCGTGTTCTACGACGATTAATCACGGATGCGACCTTGATTTCAGAGCAAGACTCGAATCAATGTATAAGGAAGCCGGATTTCTTGTTTGGTGATTCGGTGAAAGATCCGGAGATTGCTTTCTGCAAGCCTGCGCAATGGTTGCACCAGAGTGGGTCATCATTCTTATATCTGCCTTTTATCCCTCGAGATCACTCACTGTTAAAGTTCAGGAACCTATCGGTTGGACGTGAGATGTTCTGGATGTTAACCGAAAATCACGAACGCATTCACTGTGGTTTCATTGGGAAGGAAGCCACCCCAGGTTCCAGTGAAAGAGCTCATGTGCGGGGACTTCATCCGGGTATCTTAGGACAAGACAATATACCTCAGAATGAGAAGATAGTGCAAGCCAACACTGTGAAGAACCGGTTAGCGGCAGCGGGACGAAGATTACCCAGAGAGAATTTTAGATGTTATGGATGGGTCCATTATTCTGGGGACAAATGGTGGTGGAGCAGGATGCCTCGATATGTATTGAACCGCTGGGGGCGAGAGTTAGCAGAATTAGGGCTCGAAGTCCCGATCCGTGCCAGTATGCATGGTCTGCAGATTAGTGTAGGTCATTTCCTCTGTTTGTTCGAGATCTACAACCCGGATACTAATACATTCTTTACCAAGAATGGGGAGCTCGGACTACCACTGCATGAAATGATGCAGGTGTCTGGTTTGCCTATGGGCGATGTTCCATATCAAGAGTTCTATCCGACCACCAATCAACTGAACAAGATGAAAGATAGCTCAACTGTAACTCATGACACCTTATGGGAATTGACCTGCCATTATCATATACTCATGGCTGAGATGGAGCCCAAAGCCAGAAAGAAATCTCCTCAAGTCAGCTTAAAACAATTCGCCGATTATCTATTCAAGAATCTGGATGATCGTTCGGCAGATGTATGCGGATTGTCTCCCCTAAGTTCGGGTGAAATCAATCATCTGTTAAAGAAAACAAACGCGCAATCTTATACCTCGCGCTCAGAAGACGGATTTTCGCACGACACTAAGTTCCGCCCTTATCTGTGGCAAGCTGGTATTCCAATTAGCTCTACTGCTCTGCTGGCGGGTTTCCTGGCTTTATGGCTAAAGAGGTGCGTAGTTCCCCACCAGTCCTCAGATGCGATGCCAATGGAAGTGTTGTATCCGGCCGTCCAGCTAGCTACAGGTCGCAAATTATCTTTGCTTCCTGCTATGGTGGCCGGGATTACGGCAATTAATCTCCGTGTTTACTCAGGAGAAAAAGAAACCCTCCGCCAGTCTGTCCGTTCCGAAGCTAGAGCTACCCTACACCTATCTGATGACCTGGTTAGTACTTCATCGACCAGATTTAATGGAAGCTCCTGAGACGGTAAATCCCAGCCTCCCTCTGTTGCAGAATCTTGAGTGTTGCAAGTGGAGCAAACATCGAGGGCCGGACATAACGAGGCAGTTTAAAATTCACAAGTGTTGGGAATTCTTCCCCTGCTTTCCTCAGTTCTCCGGTACCTACAACACGACTTTAGTGGATGCTGAAGACTGTTTGTTGGAAATTTGATGTAAAAAGACAAAGAAAGAAAATTTGACTTGTATTCTCTCAAAATCGATTACAATTCCCCCCCCCCCGCCCCCCCCCGCCCTCCCCCCCCTATTTCGGATTCCGATTACAACAAGAGAGGAGAATGATTTGATTACTCCCTTGTTTAAAAACTGGTGTTCTTTCTTGGTTAGCGCGTGGAAGTGCCTCTTCGATTGATCCGCTGATCGAGCTTGCTCATCCGGACAGCATTCGACCGTCCTCTTCAACTGGAACACATTGAAGTGGCTTGATGACTCCGCGCTTTTAGAACTGGTCTTAACGACGTGTAAAGAAACTCTGAACGATGTTTAAGAACTCTCGATAAGAGTTCGTTTGAAAACCGACATGTCTGGGGTTTTTATGTGATCTAACTTGCGTCGCAAGCCTAATTAAGAAATCTTGTGTTGTTCGGGCAAATTTGAATGCTAAAAGACAAAGAAAGGAAATTTTGACTCTGTGTTTCTCTCAGATAAATGCGATTACAATTCTGCGATTCGATTACCAAACGCAGGATTCGCGATTACCAAAAGCGCGAGGGACATGAATTTGCCATCTACCCTTTGTTTAAAAACTGGGTTGGCTTCCTCCGGTAGCGGGTTGGAGTGCCTCCTTCGGATTGATCGCGTTCGAACTTTCGCTCTCTGTTGACGATCCGACCGTCGCTTCTCTCACTGAACATTGAAGTGCCGTTGATGACTTTCGCGTTTCTAGAACTCTTAACGAAACGAGTGTAAGAACTGCTGAACGTAGTTAAGAACTCTGATAAGAGTGTGACAAACGCAATGTCTGGTTTTATGTGACTTAACCTTCGTTTGCAAGTCCTAATTAAGAACTCTTAACGAGTTTAAGAACTTCACGAATGACGTTAAAACTCCTTAACAGACGTTGTTTGGAACCGAAAATTCGCCAGTTATTTGCCAAGTGGATGCATACCTTTGACTGAAAGGCATCCTTCGGCGATTTGTTATTTAATCCTGATCGTTTGATCAGCTTCCCTTGATCTCCGCGAAGGTATGGCTCTTCCTTCCGATTACTCAACTGCCGAGATTGTTCGGACCTTGGGTGCCGGGTTTTGATACTCAGCTCCCCTCAACCTCTTTGCGGTTTTG